AAGTATCCAAGTAGGTACCCTATTAAGGGAAACAGGGACTATTTCTGACATGAACTCAATGACAGGCTCTTTGACCTCCCCCCTACCCAGAGGGAGCAGCAGCCCTGCTGGGCCACAGAGGAGGACTTTGCAGCCAATCCTGAAGATACCTGATAAACCAGTGTCAGATGAAAGAGGAGGAGGTCCTCCCCTATCAGTGGACTTGGAAAGGGGCAGGGAAGAGACGAGGGAGGGAGGGTGGAATTAGGAGAGAATGAGGGAGCGGGATACAGCAGGGATACAAAGTTAATAAACTGTAACTAATATAGATAGATAGATAGATAGATAGATAGATAGATAGATAGATAGATAGATAGATAGATAGATAGATAGGGATGTAACCCTTGTAAACTATGCCTGAACAGAGTAGTAATACTTATTAGCATAAAGCTAAGGATCCCAGTACATAGGACCTTAGACAAGACCTATAAAAGTAGAGGGAAACACGTGCTGGTGCTCACTCTTGTCTGCTGCTGCCACTCACCACTATCAAATGCCAAGGGATATAACAGCTGCCAGAGGCCAGCAGAACTACCCACCTACACACAATTTCTACTCAGAGAAAAAGGATCCCAACAAAATGATTCACAGAAAGCACTAAAAGGGGTATTTACAATGAAGACTTCAGGAAATCAGAACAACAAGACAAAACAAACAAACAAAAAAAAAAAACAAAAAAAAACACCCATTCCAATAGTGTTTAACTGTACTTGTGCAGGGATTCTAAAATTTTAGTTCAGCCTGAGTTACACACTGAATTTGCAGCCAGCCTGATCTAAATAGGAAGACCCCGTCTCAGAAAATGAAACAATGCAATTCCCACTCCAGTACTTTACAGTAGTTAACGCTAAACAGTACCACAGTACTGATTCATCATTCCCCAGTTACACTCACTGCAGTACCGTAGCGTACACTTCAGAAAGTGAATTTATCAGTATGTATCATTAATAACAGTTTCTCTTAAAAGTCTTATGCCATGTACTATGGTTTGTGTACCCTACAGTTCATGTATTGAAGGTCCTCAGGGAGGCACTACTGAGCAATAATGCGTTCTTTAGAAAGTAAAGCCCCTGAGAAGTCATTAAAGGCAAGCACCCATGGGAAATTCTGGTATTCTGACCTATTCAGACTTCCTTGCTTTGCTTCCTGGTTCATATTGTGTAGAGAGTGCTCGGACCATATGCTCCATGGCCATTGCCATTTGGCATAACTATCCCAAAGGCTTAATGAGACAGGCAGCCTGATCATGGACTTGAAGCTATAAAACTATGTGCCAAAATAAACCTCTTTATAAGTTCACTATTTTATGTATTTCACTGTAGTAACAGAAAGTTGGAATACTATGTGACAGTACTGAGCACATGTGCAGCTCAGCTGACCAATGAGAAAGCCTGAAGTCCCTATCATTCTCTGTGCAATCTGGCATGTAATACTCTAAATACATGTCTGACTTACTTTTCCTACCATACCAACCATAATTCTCTTTAATAATGGACTCTAGATGGCTTGCATTATTTATTGTTTCTTGAACATGGCTTGTAAATTTTTGTACCATACAAAACATTCTATAAGGCTCCCTTTTTATTTTTCATTTTATTTTTATTAATTACAGTTTATTCACTTTGTATCCCCCCTGTAGCTCCCTCTCTCCTCCCCTCCCAATTTCTCCCTCCTTCCCCCTTCTCCACCCATGTCCCTCCCCAAGTCCACAATAGGGGAGGTCCTCCTCTCCTTCCTTCTGATCCTAGTCTATCAGGTCTCATCAGGAGTGGCTGCATTGTCTTCTGCTGTGGCCTGGTAAGGCTGTTCCCCACTCAGGGGAAAGTGATCCAAGAGCCAGCTACTGAGTTCATGTCAGAGACAGTCCCTGTTCCCCTTACTGTGGAACCCACTTGAACACTGAACTCCCTTTCTTAATTAATGGAATTTTAGTCATCTCACAGATCTGTTTGTTTTTCCCTCTTAAGCATGTGCTTTATAGAAAGCAAAAACTATAATTAAATATTGGTTTTTCTTATTTTTCTCTTATTCTTTAAACTTTAGGAATGTTCTTTAAAACTACACATTTTTATTTAATATTTTTATAACCTTAATTAACAGGTTCCTTCCTTAAACATAGTGGCCTTAAGAGAGTAACTGTCAGGCAAGAAATTCTTTACTGTCAACTGGCCAAATAGAAACCTAGCTATTTTAGATAGAGTCACGCTGAGGACAATCCAAAAGATGCAGAGGACCATTACAACCACAATGTGGCTAAAAAATAACCATTCCAGATACCTTGCTTAGAAAGCAGCACTCCAAAATATCTTACAGTCATTTTCATTATGCATACCAGAGAGCGTACACTTCCCCTGGTGGCCCAGCCAGAGGCTTCTGATTAGCGTAAACACAGCCCTTCATTTGCACGAGTGGTTACCTTCTCCTCACTATATAAACAGATTACCTGGAAGACACCCTCTTTTATTGACCCCTGGTGTTGTAAAATTAGGCCTAATAAAAGACTTCTTAATGGGAATTGGATTTTTATCATAAAATAGAGAAGGCTAAATGGGTAAAAACAAAGAAAGTCGGGGTGGTAGTGATGGCAGTGGAAACAACAGCCATAGTAGTCATAAAAGAAATAGAAGACTGGCAAGAAGGTGGCTGGAGAGCTCCAGAGAAAGGTCAGTGGCAGGGCCATTGGGAAACAGGTATCTGAGAGGACAAAGGATGGTAGAAGTATAGAGATGGCTATACAGAGGCAAAGGCAAGGGATTATGGGCAATTATTACTAGAGGAGTTCCAGGGAACTACCAAACTCCAGGATCTTGACATGCAATGCCCAAGAGATACATATTAGCTACCATTAAGAGCCAAGGCTTTGGAAGCTATAACTGCTGCACTGACTATCTACTGCTAAAAAAGACTGGAAAGATGGCTCAGTGGGTAAAGGCACTTAACACCAAGTCCAACAGCCTGAACTCTCTCCAGGACCATATGAAGGAAGGAGAGACCCAACTCCCACAAGTTGTCCTCTGACCTCCACCTGTGTGTCACTGCATGCATACACACTCGAAAGAAAGAAAGAAAGAAAGAAAGAAAGAAAAGAAAGAAAGAAAGAAAGAAAGAAAGAAAGAAAGAAAGAAAGAAGCAAACCTTTTTTAAAGATGAAGCTTATGATAGCTACTAATTAATGGTTGCTTGCAATTAAAAGCCTAGAAGAATAAATTTCAAACATGGCTCGCTCTCCTCCCACCACGGCCCCTGTGACACACGGATATGCATGTGTCACAGGACACATGTAGATATCAGGTGATAGATACCTCAGGTATCAAGTCAGGTCCTTGTCTTCTACTTTGTTGGAGACAGGGACATTCTTGTCCATTGTTGTGTATGCCAATCTTCCAGAACCACTCTTCTTTCCACCTCCCCTCTCTCAACAGGAGTATATTGGGATCTGAATTTAAGTCACCAGGCTTGCACAATAAACACTTTACCAATGAGCCATCTCCCCAGCAATTAAAGATTTTTACAAGAATAGATAAACAGCCAGCTGACTGGCAGTACTACCAGTTTTTCACTGTATCTAAAAGAATATATACTTGAAGAAAAGCCTATTAAATGGCAACACATGCTGGAGAAGTTGTAGAGAAAGGGGAACCCTCCTCCACTGCTGGTGGGAATGTAAACTTGTACAAGCACTCTGGAAATCAATCTGGCGCTTTCTCAGACAACTAGGAATAGCGCTTGCTCAAGATCCAACCATACCACTCCTAGGCATATATCCAAAAGAGGCTCAAGTACACAATAAGGACATTTGCTCAAACATGTTTGTAGCAGCTTTATTTGTAATAGCCAGAAGCTGGAAACAACCCAGATGCCCCTCAACTGAAGAATGGATGCAGAAATTGTGGTATATCTACACAATGGAGTATTACTCTGCAATTAAAAAATAAGGAAATCATGAAATTTGCAGGTAAATGGAGGGACCTGGAAAGGATCATCCTGAGTGAACTGTCCCAGAAGCAGAAAGACACATACGGTATATACTCACTCATATAACATAGGATAAACCTACTAAAATCTGTACAGCTAAAGAAACTAATCAAGAGAGAGGACCCTGACTAAAACACTCAATCCCCATACTGAAAGGCAAAGAGGAAGGACATCAGAAGAAGAAGGAAACAGGAAACAAGTTAGTCCCCCTGAGGGGGGAGCAGCCTTACCAGGCCACAGAAGATGACAATGCAGCCACTTCTGATGAGATCTGATAGACTAGGATCAGAAGGAAGGAGAGGAGAACCTCCCCTATCAGTGGACTTGGGGAGGGACATGCGTGAAGAAGGGGGAGGGAGGGTGGGTTCGGGAGGAGAGGAGAGAGGGGCTTATGGGGGATACAAAGTGAATAAAGTGTGATTAATTAAAAAATAAAATTATACATCAAAAAATTCTATATGGTCACAAAATACATATACATATATATTTTTAGTATGTTACTATTAATCATACTTTACTGAAAGATAAAATCTAGTATATAATATCAGTATTCTATGCAGTCTTATTTAATTTCACATTTTAACAAAATTATTAATATTAACAAAGGAATGCGTACTTGAACATTATTTTCATTTTTCCCACTTTGCACCTTAGGAATAAATTTATCTAACTAGACATAAGGTTCTATAACACTAAAACTATAAATAAGCCAATTTAATTTTGGTCAAATCTTGGGAAAAAAAAAATCACTTAAAAGTATGACTAGACTTCTTCAGAACAAGTATATAGCTTTAACCACATTTGCATTTTCTGTGATTTCTGAAAAATCATTTTAATATTGCATTATGATACCAAGACAATTCTGCCAGAAAGATGACTGTAGCTACTGTAAAGGGTTAAAGATCAAGTAGAAACAGTTATTACTGACTGTTAATAACATGATGCAAATCCTGCACATGAAGGAACACAACAGTGAACTTCATTACCTTTACATTAGGCTTCTTTGTTGAAACTCCTCTGTACCAACCTAAAAAGATATTAAAATAATGTTACTGTTGTTCTGTAAGAGACACAATGGTCATTTTTTTTAAAGCAGATGATTGTGAGATTTTTCTTAATATATTTTGGCTTCATTAGGATCACAACTGTGCTAGCAGGTTAGCCCTGATGGAACAGCTTTTTATTTTTATTCGGTTTTCTTTTATACGGCAGATAGGAAGTACAGTTCAGACTATTTACTGGTTCATTCACTCTCCAATGCAGCATACTATACTATTCACTTGTTTGTTGTTATTGTTTCTGATCAGTTGATAAAATCTGTAGACCTATTCCTTTCAGCGTTCATATACAGAAATACTAACAAAACGTTCAATTTCAACAGAAGTATTTTCAGGCAAGGGAAATCTTATTGGCAACCTTTCTTCATAATAATCTATTATTTTCAGAGTTTTGATATAGTTTACTTGTGTTTTAGAGAAAACAGCATATCAGAGTATAAACCAAGAAAAGCACTTACAAAAGGAAAATAATATGAAAATCATAAATAGCAGCTAATGTTAACTGAGAACTTTTATTATTATTTCTAAATATTGGAATTGAGGGATTTTTCCATGTACTAATCTTCAAATCTCATGACAATGCTATGAAAGGAAGAAAAAAACCTAATTTTTTTCTCACATGAAAACAACAGACTACAAAAGAACAGAAATTCTGCTTCTTTTAGTAACAACAGCTAAGGCAATAAATTCTAATAACTAGTTTCACAAACTGAGTCGCAAGTTCTTCATTTATCTTTTTAAATGATAATCTTACTATACTTAACATGAACATATTAAGAGACACCACATGGCAGAATGAGGGTCTCTAAAAACCTTGAGAATAAAAAAATAAACCCATGAATATGCTACTAAGCAACAGCATTCAAAGCTGTGAGGTACTGGGGAAACAGAAGGCAATCTACAGAACTAAAGATAACATCCATAAACAGACCCACACAGAATTCAACTGACCCTTGGCAAAGTAACAATGGCAACACAATAGGAAAAGAGATGTTTTCACAAGAAGGAGGACCCAGGGTAAGAAGATCAATCCTTACTTAGAAAGACAAATAGGATGGACATTGGAAGTAGGAGAAAATGAGAAGCAGGATAGGAGCCTACCACACAGGGCCTCTGAAAGACTCTACATAGCAGTGTATCAAAGCAGAAGCTAGGACTCATAACCAAACCTTGGGCAGAGTGCAAGGAATCATATGAAAGAAGAGGGAATTAGTAAGACCTGGAGAAAACAGGAGCTCCACAAGGACCAAATATATCTGGGCACAGGGGCTTGTCTGAGACTGATTCTCCAACCAGGGACCATGCATAGATATAACCTAGAACCCCTGCTCGGATGTAGCCCATGACAGCTCAGTATCCAAGTGGATTCCCTAGTAAGGGGAACAGGGACTGTCTCTGACACGAACTCTATGGCTAGCTCCTTGATCTCCACAGCCCACCATGGGAGGAGCAGCTTGCTAGGTCACAGAGGAGGACATTGCAGCCCGTCCTGGTGAGATCTGATAAGCTAGGTTAAGATAGAAGGAGAGGATGACCTCCCCTATAAGTGGACTTAGAGAGGGACAAGGAGGCGATGAGAGAGAGAGGGTGGGATTGCAAGGGAATGAGGGAGGGGACTACAGCTGGGACACAAAGTAAATAAACTGTAATTAATATAAAAAAATTAAAAATTATATCAAGAAAAAAAGAAACTAAAAAAAATGTTTTCAGCAAATGCTGTCAGAACAACTGGTTATCAACTTTGCAAAAATATATATATATAGATACAGCCCAGTGCCCAACTGAAGCAGAGACTCCCCACTCTTTACCAGAGGCCACACCAGCCATCAGAAGTCCAGGTAGATAGCCAGCCAATGGACCTCCTCCACTCTTTTGGTGGCCCACCCTCAGAACCCCAAGCCAACCCTTCTTTCCTCATCAATTTCCAATTTCCAATCCCCAATTCAGGCAGAGACCTCACGCTCCACCAGAGGCCATGCCAGTCACCATAAGTCCAGCACTCCAGAAATGTCCATTAACATACAAAGGCCTACAGAACACCAAATAGACTAGACCAGAAAAGAAACTCCTCACATTACATAACAGTCAAAACACAAAATCTACAGAACAAGGAAAAAATATTAAAAGCAGCAAGGGAAAAAGACCAAGTAACATAAAAAGGTAAACCTATCAGAATCATACTGGACTTCTCAACAGAAACTATGAAAGCCAGAAGGGCCTGGGTGAATGTTATGCAGACTCCAAGAGACCACAGATGTCAACCCAGACTACTATACCCAGCAAAGCTTTCAATCAATATAGATGGAGAAAACAAAATATTCCATAACAAAACTAAACTTTAACAATATCTACACAGCAACCCAGCCCTACATAAGATATTAAAATGAAAATTCCAATCTAACAAAATCAACTACACCCAAGAAAACACAGGATATAGATAACTTCACAACAAAAAATTAGAAGAAAACAATTAATAGAAATGCAGTAACACCACCAACTCCACAATAAAGGGAATTAACAATGATTGGTCACTTTCATCTATCAACATAAATGAACTCAACTCCCTAATAAAAAGACACAGACTAACAGAATGGTTGCAGAAACAAGATCCAACATTCTACTGCATCCAAGAAACACACCTCTGCAACAAAGAAAAACTCTACCTCAGAATAAAAGGATAGAAAAAAAATGTTTTTCAAGCAAATGACCCAGAAAACAAGGTGGGGTAGCTATCCTAATATCTAATAAAATAGACTTTCAACCAAAATTAATCAAAAAAGATGAGGAGGGACACTTCATTCTCATCAAAGGAAAAATACACCAGGAGGACATCACAATCCTGAACATCTATGCCCCAAATACAGGAGCACCTGCATTTGTAAATGAAAGATTATTAAAGCTTAAATCTACACATTGGTAGACTTCAACACTCCACTCTCACCAAAGGACAGATCATCTAGACAAAAGCTAAATAGGGAAATAATGGCACTTACAGAGGTCCTAAATCAAATGGACCTAATAGATGTCTACAGAACTTTTCACTCAAACTCAAAAGAGTATACCTTCTTTTCAGTACCTCACGAAACCGTCTCAAAAATTGACCATATAGTGGGGCACAAAGCAAGCCTCAACAGAAACAAGAAGATCGAAATAATTCCTTGTCTCCTATCAGATCACCATGGCCCAAAACTAGACCTCAGCTGCAACAGAAATAACAAAAAGCCTACATAACTCTCTACTCAATGATAGCTTAGTCAGGGAAGAAATGAGAAAAGAAACTAGAGACTTCAATGAAAATGAAGGCACAACTTACCCAAACTTATGGGACACAATGAAAGCAGTGCTAAAAGGAAAGTTCATGGCACTAAGTGACTCCAGGAAAAAGTTTGAGACATCTCATACAAGCAACTTAACGGCACACCTAAAAGCCCTAGAACAAAAGGAAGACGCACCCAAGAGGAGCAGACCATTGGAAATAAACTCAGAGCTGAAATCAGTGCATTAGAAACAAAGAAAACTATTCAAAGAATCAATGAGACCACTGCTGGTCTTTGAGAAGCAATGCTGGTTCTTTGAGAAAATCAACAAGACAAATAAACCCTTGGCCAAACTGAAACACAGAGAAAAACTATCCAAATCAGCAAAATCAGAAACAAAAGGGGGGGGGGATATATCAACAGACACTGAGGAAATCCAAACAATCATTAGGTCTTACTACAAAAGCCTATATGCCACAAAATTTGAAAATCTAAATGAAATGGACAATTTTCTTGATAATACTGAAATTAAATCAAGATTAGGTAAATAAATTGAATAGTCCTGTATCCCCCACGGAAATAGAAGCAGTCATCAAAAATCTCCCTTCCAAAAAAAGCCCAGGGCCAGACGATTTCAGCACAGACTTCTACCAGACCTTCAAAAAAGAGCTAACTCCAATTCTCTTCAAACTAGTCCACAAAATAGAAACAGAAGGGACATTACCAAACTCATTCTATGAAGCTACAGTCACCTTGATACATAAACCACACAAAGACTCAACAAAAAAGAGAACTTCCAACCTATCTCTCTTATGAACATTGATGCAAAAATACTCAATAAAATACTTGCAAACCGACTCCAGAAACACATAAAAGATATCACCCACCATGACCAAGCAGGCTTCATCCCGGGCATGCAGGGGTGGTTCAATATACAGAAATCCGTCAATGTAACCCACCATATAAATAAACTGAAGGAGAAAAACCACATGATCATCTCCTTAGATGCCAAAAAGTATTTTACAAAATCCAACACCCACTCATGTTTAAAGTTTTGGAGAGATCAAGGATACAAGGCACATATCTAAACATAGTAAAGACAATATACAGCAAGCCTATAGCCAACATCAACCTAAACCAAGAGAAATTTAAATCAATCCCACTGAAATAAGTGACAAGGCAAGGCTGCCCACTCTCTCATTATCTCTTCAACATAGTACTTGGAAGTCCTAGCTAGAGCAATAAGACAACTAAAAGAGTCAAGGGGATACAAATCAGAAAGGAAGAAGTCAAAGTATCACTATTTGCAGATGATATATTAGTATACATGAGTGAACCCAAAAATTCAACCAGAGAACTCCTTCAGCTGATAAACACCGTCAGCAAAGTGGCTGGATACAAAATTAACTCAAAAAAATCAGTAGCCCTCTTCTTTACGAAAGACAAAAGGGCTGAGAAAGAAATTAGGAAAACTACACCCTTCACAAATAGCCACTAATAACACAAAGTATGTTGGTGTGACTCTAACCAAGCAAGTGAAAGACATGTTTGAAAAAAACTTCAAGTCTCTGAAGAAATTGCAGAAGATGGAAAGATCTCCCGTGCTCGTGGATCAGTAGGATTAACATAGTAAAAATGGCCACCTACGGATTCCATGCAATCCCCATCAAAATATCAACACAGTTCTTTACAAAACTTGGAAAAACAATTCT